GTTAGTTTGATCAAGTCCTTAATGAGATAATAAATTCAATTTATAAAATATATTATTTTATTTTTTATTAAAATACTTAAGTTCTAACAAAACTATATCAAGACTTTGTAATAGTTAAATACTAAGGGTTAGTTTGGCATAATTCATTCTTTTAACTTACTTTTATAAGCACTTGTTTCTCTTATAAATTCCAAAAATATTAGAGTGAAATACTATTTTTATTTTATCATTTAAAGTGTTTATATTAAAAAAATTTAAGATTTAGGTAAAAAACTTTTTTTTATTTATAATTAATTTTTAATTTAATAATTTATTAATAATATTATATATATCTATTAATTAAATATCAGATCTTATTGCACAATAATGATGCTGTATTTGTAGAATCACCAATGATGAAATGTTGTAATAATATCAGGCATTGTCCTGACAGGCAACTACTGGATCTTTCACTTATTTGGCAGAGATTTTAGGGGCGGTCGGAAAAGTCAGCAGGCTCTGGGGGAGTAAATATGGATAGGGACTGTGAGTCAGCACAGCATATGCTAAGATGCTCTCTAATTTATACCACCACAATCATTATCTATGAACCAATTATTAGAAATCTTATTTTGCACATGTCTATACATATTAATTTTTTGAACATGGGTAACCTCATAGTTCCACACTAAATTATCCTTTACAGCCTTTACTATTTATCAAGACAACGTTGGATTAAGTTAAGATGCTCTTTCCTTGCGGAAGCGAAAGAGTTGGGGAATGGGATAATGGTAACTGATGCTGAGGTGAGTCATGTGACGAGCTAGAAAGAGAGAGCAGATATGGTCCTCTCGTTTTGTTCGGAATGCAAAACTGGTGGTGGGACATTTAGGAGACGGCTGCGATTACTTGTACCAATACTTAGTCTTTCGAACAGCTCATTGCTTATGTTTTGTTGTTTCTAGAGAGACTACAGCTACGATTATTTGTGTGTCTTCTGGGTGTTATGAATGATTAGTGGTGGCCCAGTTTTGCCCCACCAAAATAACTGCTACTAAAATATGGGGGCATGTCGAATACTCATTTTATTTTTTAATGTCTAAGATTTGATTTGGATGGTTGTAAAATTGAAGGAAATCATTTTATTATTTTTATTAATATTTATTATTCAAGTGTTTTTCAATTAATTTTTACAAAACATTTAAAAAACTTTATTTAATTAGGTACTAAAACCAAAGTTGATTTGTACCATAAACATAATTTATAAAATATTTATTTATGACCCAATCCTCGCTATTGTGAATTTATTACTTGTGCAAATTCTTAAATTAACTTAAACTTGAGGTTCCTATTTAAAAAAAGAAAAAAAAAAGAAAAGAAAACTTAAACTTGGGTTTACCTTTTTATTTTTGTGAATAACTTGGGTTTACTTTACTTGAGGATATTCGTGAAATATTCGTGAAGCAAATAAATAGTACATCCTTTAAGTTCACGCAACAATAGAACATGGCACTGGAATCACGGCTTCTGAGAGTGTACATTGTAGTCCAACTGAGGGCCTTTTTTTTTTTGAGCTGTAATTGGAACAGAATCCAACCAATTTATTTCACAAGCTTGTATTTATTTTTTTTCGAACATAAGGTAATTGGAGGATACGGTTATGCTATTCATCCATAATGTTAAGGATATTAAAAATTATAAAATATTATTTTTAAAAGTATTAATTTTATTTTAATTTGATTAAAAATAATTAATAAAATAAATAAATAAATAAATAATTTTAAATATTATTTTAAAAAATAAAAAATTAATAATCTTAATATTTTAGATGATAACAAATAACCACATCGAAAATTAGGGATGGAGAATATTTATCATGAGAGATGAACCATTGTCATAGTCATGATAACATCCCCCCACCACCATAGCCAACGCAGGCAAGGCTACAGGTGCATTTTACAAGCTTGGTACTAGCAAAATAAACCGCGTTAGTCCAATATGAAACCGTTGGGTTTGTGGATTTGAATTTATGGGAAGAAATATTTTAAGTCAGGCGCCTGCCTTTAACCCCTTGATGAAGTTTTCCCAGTCAAATTTACGAATTAACAGATAGGCATCCTATCTTGAATTCCAATATTTAAATTTTTGGGCACATAAATTGCTTTATTTTAACAAACCCTTAATCGATCACTTAACACATGTTTGGTTTGAGAGTAAAAAAAGAGTAAGATAGATTTTTATACTAATTAAATTACTAAATATTGATAAGTGTTCTATAATTTAATTAATTAAAAAACTCACCTATTTGTTTTTTCTCAAATCAAACATACTTAATAAAATCTATACAAATATATACAACATATATTGACTTTTTAAATGCAAACTGTACTAGTCTTTTAAAATAATTTTAAAAAATATTATTAGCATGTTTTATTTGAATAACCAGTGTATTTTCATATTAGATTGTATACATTTTACAATTAATCTATTGCAAACAATTTTAAAGACTTATAATGAATTCCTTGTAAAAGCCAAACTTACCAAATTGACTAAATTCGGTAGCTCTATAGTACAATTGACGCATACCTAATTAATTAATTTGCTCTCAATATATTTACAAAGTCATTGTCCATGCAAATCACACCATGCCTAACTTACTGGAATAATTAAGTTGTGTATTTTCAACTCCATAAATTGAAATTGGTCCCCATCATAGAGAGCCGGTAGGGCAACGGCCACCATGGACCGACCAGTGAATACATAAAAAATTGAAAATTTAAAAGAAAAGGGTCTCGGAGGTGGGTTTCAATCTGTCGCTTTATTTAGAAGTATTATTTTCTTTGACAGTAAAGGTCACCATCAATTGAGTTATTACTTTGTAGTACGTATCTTGCTCCCGGCCAAACATTTTTTTGTAACAACCTCTCAACAGAGACCTCTCTGGATGTGTGACCACTGACCAGTGTGTACACTGCGCGGTAGCTTAACTACCAAGGACAAGGGTTAGGCATAAACCCTTCCCTTCACCTTTGAAAAGAGAAAGGAAAGAGTCTTTTTTGTAGCGATCTCTCAACAGAGACCTCTACATGTGTGACCAGTATGAACACTGCCCAATATCATAACTACCAAGAGAAGGGTTAAGTAAAGACCCTACTCTTCTCCTTAAAAAAAAAATGAAAAAAGAAGAAGACATGGTAATTGACATAAGTTGGCTCTACTTAGTAATTGACATAAGTTGGCTCTACTTAGTAATTGACATAAATAGCTAATTAAAACACAAAATTTAGTTGCTCTTAATTAAGGATCTCATACCAACGATCTGTTGGTCCGAATGAAATGAGTTTAATTTTTTTAAATAAGGTTTCAAGTTCGAGTCTTGTGAGTGGAGAAATAGGCATTGAGAGAACTTTTTTTCTAGTGGATCTGATACGGTTCGATTTTGAATTAATTAAAATTTAATGTAATTATCAAATACCAGAAAGTTAGTAAAAAAAGTTGAGGATCTCATTTCTTACCTTTTCATATCCATTAGTAGATTTCAATATTTGATAATGTGTAAATTATTTACTTAAAAAAACTTCATTAATACTTTATCGTTAGTGTAACTAACAATTATAGAATATTAAAAAAAATTAAATTTCTAAAATACACTTTCTCTCTGTGTATCCCGTACGACCTTTTTCGTTTTCCTCCCTTTATAGCCATTGATAGCAAGCTTTAAGGTTTGAAGAATTGACAAACAAAAGTAAAGAAATCTAAATGGTGCACAACTAACAACCACTTATAAGAAATCAAATTACATTAACGCAACTAATCTCAATAACATGGATATAATTTAGACCCAAAAAAGAAAAAAAAGGGAGAACTTTTGTATGTCGTTTTTGGTATTAACCATTTGGTATTTGATAATCACATTAGATTTTAATTAATTTGAAATCGAATCGTGTCAAACTTTATAATGAGAAACGCTCTTCCAGTGCCTGTCTCTCTATTTACAAGATTCAAACTCGAAAACTTATTTAAAAGAAACCAAACTCCTTTTATTCGAATCAATAGATAGTTAATTAAAACTTTTGTATGTTGTTTGAAGAATAATGCTCTCTATGCAAATTCTTAAGCATACATTAAAAAATAATTAAAAATAACAAATTCATACTTCAAACAATTGTACCTTAAAAATATAGGTTCATAAACTTTTTTAAAGTCTTTCAAAATATTTTACTATCTGACATGTGACTATTGGAGAGTCTATGAATTTCTTCAATACAATACAACACCGAAGAACTCTTTAGTTCTATTTACAACGACTAACAATAATAAAAGGACTACAAGCAAGACAATTAAACAACCAAGACTCATAGAAGCCAATAGAGTGAGAAAACATAGGAAATAATTACCATTATTTACTAATTATTTTTATTTTTTTATTGTTAGTTTCATTTTTATTTTTTTTTAAATAAGAACAAAATGACGCTACTAACAGTAACTTGACAATTTTTGTCCAATTGATATCAGGCCCTACTCTGAAGGAAATTCTGGTTCTACACTGCTTTGGTCTTTTATGAAAAACATGTCATATTATTATTTGTGTTTGAAAGACTAGAATCCATAACTTCAAATAAGTAAAAATTTTAAGAAGTGTACTGAACTATAATCAATAGACATTTATGAAATTAATATGACTTTATATTGTTTATGAGAAGGAGGGATTTTTTCAGGGCTTCAATGGTATTACTCTTAACGCATTGACACTTCATTAACAATAATAAATTCACCTTAATATATAAATTACCAATATATCTACATCAATTCTTTTCGTGCAAGATGCAACATGCATAAATCATCAACAATTTAAGGAGAACCAACCCA